GGAGCGTTTATAGGGGATTTATAGGGGATTTATGGGGGATTTATGGGGGTTTTATATTATGTGGATCATCAGGGACAGGTGAGCTGGGATATTGGGGATTCTGTAAGCATTCTATAGGGGATCTATAGGGGATTTATAGGGGTTGTGGGTTCTATGGGGGGTGTCCATAGGGGATCGCTGCAGGTTGTGTGTCTGCAGGGTTTCTATAGGGGATCTGTAGGGTTTTTGTAGGGGATCTGTAGGGGTTGTGGGTTCTATAGGTGCAGGGGTGTCTGTAGGGGATCAGTGCAGATTGTGGGTCTATAGGGTTCCTACAGGGGATCTGTAGGGGTCTGTGGGGGCAGGGATGTCTATAGGGGATCAATGCGGGCTGTGGGCCTATAGGGTTTCTATAGGGTTTCTATAGGGTTTCTATAGGGGGTGTTTACAGGGTTTTCTATAGGGGAATGTGGGCTGGGCGGGTCCTGGGCACAGAGGAGGGGAAGGAGCAGATCCCGGAGAGATCCCAAACGGATCCCAAATGTTGGATCCCAAATGAATCCCACTCACATCCCAAATGAATCCCAATTCCCAGATTAATCCCAGTTGAATCCCAGCCAGATCCCAAATTAATCCCAGTTAAAATCCCAGTTTAATCCTAAATTAATCCCAGTTTAATCCCCTTATTTTAATTCCTGTTTTCCCGCAGCTTTTCCTGGACGACGCCAAAGTGAAGAATTTCACCACCTGCTTCAGAGGTGAGCGCTAATTAGGGACCCTCGTTAATTGGGGTCGGATCGTTAATGAGGAGCTGATCGTTAATTGGGATCCATCCCATTGTTTATTGGGATCCGATCATTAATTGGGGTCACATCCTTAATTGGGATTTGATTGCTAATGAGAATCCCGTTTTTAATTAGGATCCCTTCATTAATTGCGTTCCCATCATTAATTTAGATATTTTCATTAATTAGGATCCCATTATTAATTGGGATCTCTTCATTAATTAGGATTACATCATTAATTGGGATATATTCATTAATTAGGATCCCATCATTAATTGGGATACTGTCATTAATTGGGATACTGTCATTAGTTAGGGTCCTATCATTAATTGGGATTTGATCATTAATGAGGATGCCATCATTAATTTGGTTTTCATCATTAACTGGGGTCCCATCATTAATTTGGATCCCTTCATTAATTAGAATCCCATCATTAATTGGGATCTCTTAATTAATTAGGATCCCATTATTAATTGGGATCTCTTCACTAATTAGGATCCCTTCATTAATTGGGGTCCCATTGTTAATTGGGATCCCATCATTAATTAGGATCCCATCATTAATTGGGTTTCCATCATTAATTGGGATCCCATCATTAATTTGGACCTGATCACTAATCAGGATCCAATAATTAATTAGGACCCAATCATTAATTAGGATCCAGTCATTAATTAGGATCCCATCATTAATTTAGATCCAATTGTTTAATTGGGATCCCATCATTAACTGGGATGATCATTCATTATAATCTCATTTTTAATTGCTATTTGATCATTAATTGAGGTATCATCATTAATTGGGATTTAATCACTAATTAGGATTTTATTATTAATTGGATGCCCATAATTAATTGGGTTCTGATCATTAAGGTGCCATCATTAATTGGGATTTGATCATTAATGAGGATCCCATCATTAATTGTTGTCTGATCATTAATTAGGATCCCATCATTAATTGGGATCTGATCCCTAATTAGGGGGAACCAAACCTTGGGAAGGGAAGGGGGACCCCCTACTTTGCATATTCATTACCTCATTAATTAACTGCCCCGTTCATTAATATTTAATTATGAAATGCATTTTCTAATTTAAAAAACAATTTTTTATTTAAAACCTGAATCCCAGAAGCCGATCCCGGAAATCCCAGGAGCTGATCCTGAATCCCATCCCAGAAATCCCTGAATCCGATCCCGGAAATCCCTGAATCCAGTCCCACAAATTCCACCCCTTAAATCCCATAAATCCCATGATCCCATCCCATAAATCCCTGAATCCGATCCCATAAATCCACCAATCCAATCCCATAAATCCCTGAATCCGATCCTATAAATCCCATCCCATAAATTCCTGAATCCGATCCCAGAAATCCCTGAATCCGATCCCATAAATCCCATGATCTGATCCCAGAAATGCCGGAGTCCAATCCCATAAATCCAGGGAGCCAATCCCAAAATTCTCTGAATCCAATCCCATAAATCCCATGATCCTATCCCACAAATCTCATCCCACAAACGCCTGAATTCAATCCCATAAATCCATCAATCCAATCCCATAAATCCCTGAATGCAATCCCATAAATCCCTCAATCCCAACCCACAAATCCGGCAATCCCATCCCATAAACCCCTGAATCCGAGTCCATAAATCCCTGAATACGATCCCACAAATCTCATCCTATAAATCCCTCAATCCAATCCCAAAAATCCCCAAATAAAATCCCATTAATCCCTGAATTCCATCCCATAAATCCCGGGAGCTGATCCCTAAATCCAATCCCTAAATCCTGCAATCCAATCCCAAAAATCCCTCAATCCAATGCCACAAATTCCACCCCTCAAATCCCCTAAATCCCTGAATCCAATCCCATAAATCCTTATATTAAATCCCTGAATCCGAACCCTAAATAATCCATGAATCCAATCCCATAAATCCCATGATCCAATCCCACAAATCCCTGAATCCAATCCCACAAATCCCTCAATCCAGTCCCACAAATCCGATCCCATAAATCCCTGAATCCATCCCATAAATTCCTGAATCCGATCACATAAATTCCGGGATCTCATCCCTTAAATCCCTGAATCCGATCCCAAAAATCCCATGATCCGATCCCATAAATCCCCAAATCTGATCCCATAAATCCCGGGTTCTCATCCCATAAATCCCTCAATCCAGTTCCATAAATCCCTGAATCCGATCCCATAAATCCCTGAATCCGATCCCATAAATNTCCCTGAATCCAATCCCATTAATCCCAGGAGCCAATGCTTGAATCCGATCCCTAAATTCCTGAATCCAGTTCCATAAATCCCTGAATCCGATCCCATAAATCCCTGAATCCGATCCCATAAATGCCCGGATCCAATCCCATAAATCCGATCCAGTAAATCCCTGAATCCGATCCCATAAATCCAAATCCCTGAATCCAATCCCATAAATCCCGAGTGCCAATCCCTGAATCCGATCCCAAAAATCCCATGATCCAATCCCAAAAATCCCATGATCCAATCCCACAAATCTCATCCCATAAATCCCTCAATCCGATCCTATAAATCCCGGGATCTCATCCCATAAATTCCTCAATCCGATCCCATACATCCCTGGATCCCATCCCTCAACCCATCCCATAAATCCCTGAATCCCATCCCATAAACCCTTGAACCCAATCCCATAAATCCTTAAATTAAATCCCTGAATCCAATCCCATAAATCCCTGAATCCAATCCCATAAATCCCCAAATACGATCCCATTAATCCCTCAATTTGATGCCATAAATACCAGGAGCCGATCCGTTAATCCAATCTCATAGATTCCCGAATCCAATCCCTGAATCCAATCCCTGAATCCAATCCCATTAATCCCGGGAGCCAGTGCTTGAATCCGATCCCTAAATTCCTGAATCCAGTTCCATAAATCCCTGAATCCGATTCTATAAAATCCCGGGATCTCATCCCATAAATCCCTCAATCCGATCCCATAAATCCCTCAATCCAATCCCATAACTCCCCGAATCTGATCCCATAAATCCCGGGAGCCAATCCCTAAACCAATCCCATAAATCCTGCAATCCAATGCCACAAATTCCACCCCTTAAATCCCATAAATCCCTGAATCAAATCTTATAAATCGCTCGATCCAATCCCACAAATCTCATCCCAGAAATCCTTAAATTCAACCCTTAAATCCGATCCCATAAATTCCTGAATCCAATTCCATAAATCCCCGAATCCAATCCCATAAATCCCGGTATCTCATCCCATAAATCCCATGATCCAGTCCCACAAATCCGATCCCATAAATCCCTGAATCCCATCCCATTAATTCCTGAATCCGATCCCATAAATTCCGGGATCTCATCCCTTAAATCCCTGAATCCAATCCCATAAAAACCTGAATCCAGTTCCATAAATCCCCGAGTCCAGTCCCACAAATCCCACCCCCTTAAATAAATCCCATGATCCGATCCCATAAATCCCTGAATCCTATCCCATAAATCCCGAGTGCCAATCCCTAAATCCGATCCCATAAATCCAATGACCTGATCCCATAAATCCCATGACCCGATCCCATAAATCCCTCGATCCAATCCCACAAATCTCATCCCATAAATCCCCGAATCCGATCCCATAAATCCCATGATCCCATCCTTCAACCCATCCCATAAACCACTGAATCCGATCCCTAAATCCCTGAATCTGGTCCCATAAATCCCTTAATGCAATCCCAAAAATCCCAAAATACGATCCCATTAATCCCTCAATCCAATCCCATTAATCCTAGGAGCCGATCCCTGAATCCAATCCCATAAATCCCTGAATCCGATCCCATAAATCCCATCCCCTAAATCCTACAGATCCCACCCAATAAATCCCACAAATCCCTGAATCCGATCCCATTAATCCCTGAATCCAATCCCATTAATCCCAGGAGCCAATGCTTGAATCCGATCCCTAAATTCCTGAATCCAGTTCCATAAATCCCTGAATCCGATCCCTGAACCCAATCCCATAAATCCCTCAATCCGATCCCATAAATCCCATCCCCTAAATCCTACAAATCCCGCCCCATAAATCCCATTAATCCTGGGAGCCAACGCTTGAATCCGATCCCTAAATTCCTGAATCCAGTTCCATAAATCCCTGAATCCGATTCTATAAATCCCGGGATCTCATCCCATAAATTCCTGGACCCGATCCCATAAATCCCATGATCCAATCCCATAAATCCCATGATCCAATCCCACAAATGTCATCCCATAAATCCCCGAATCCGATCCCATGAATCCTGGGAGCCGATCCCTAAATCCAATCCCATAAATCCTGCAATCCAATGCCACAAATTCCACCCATTAAATCCCATAAATCCCTGAATCAAATCTTATAAATCCGTAAATTAAATCCCTGAATCCGAACCCTAAATCCCTGAATCCAATCCCATAAGTCCCATGATCCAATCCCACAAATTCCTGAATCCAGTTCCATAAATCCCTGAATTCAGTCCCACAAATCCCACCCCCTTAAATCGCATAAATCCCATGATCCAATCCCATAAATCCCGAGTGCCAATCCCTGAATCCGATCCCAAAAATCCCCTGATCCGATCCCATAAATCCCTGAATCGCATCCCATAAATCCCGAGGGCAAATCCCTGAATCTGATCCCAAAAAATCCCATGATCTGATCCCATAAATCCCTGAACCCAATCCCATAAATCCCATGACCCAATCCCACAAATCTCATCCCATAAATCCCCGAATCCGATCCCATAAATCCCTGAATCCAGTCCCACAAATTCCACCCCCTTAAACCGCATAAATCCCATGATCCAATCCCATAAATCCCTGAATGCAGTGCCATAAATCTCATCCCATAAATTCCATGATGCGATCCCACAAATCCGACCCCATAAATCCCTCAATCCGATTCTATAAATCCCGGAATCTCATCCCATAAATCCCATGATCCAATCCCATAAATCCCGGTATCTCATACCATAAATCCCTGAATGCGATCCCATAAATCCCATGATCCCATCCCACAAATCCAATCCCACAAATCCGATCCCACAAACCCCCGGATTCTCTCCCATATTCCCGTCCCCATTACCCCGTTGCTCCCCGCACACAGACGAGCGTTTCCTCTCCTTCTTCTTCTCGCGCCTGGAGCGGAACCGGAGCGGCCGCCACGAGGGCGCGTTCCCGTGGCTGTCGCGCTGCGGCCGCGAGCGCAAACCCCCCACAGAAATCCCACAAATCCCTCAATCCCATCCCTGAATCCAATCCCAGAAATCTCTGAATCCCATCCCATAAATCCCTCAATCCGATCCCATAAATTCCGGGATCTCATCCCATAAATCCCTGAACCCAATCCCATAAATCCTTGGAGCCAATCCCTGAATCCGATCCCATAAATCCCTTAATCTGATCCCGTAAAACCTTCAATCCAATCCCTAAAATCCCATTAATCCCGGGAGTCAATGCTTGAATCCGATCCCTAAATCCCTGAATCAGATCCCATAAATCCCCGAATCCAATCCCATAAATCCCTGGATCCAATCCCACAAATCTCATCCCATAAATCCTTAAATCCAATTCTTAAATCTGATCCCATAAATCCCATGATCCAATCCCTCCATCTCATCCCATAAATTCCTGAATGCAATCCCATAAATCCCATGATCCAATCCCACAAATCCCTGAATCCAATCCCTAAATCTGATCCAGTAAATCCCTGAATCTGATCCCATAAATCCCTGAATCCAATCCCATAAATCCCTGAATCCAGTTCCTTAAGTCCCTGAATCCAGTCCCACAAATCCCACCCCCATAAATCCCATAAATCCCTGAATCCAATCCCATAAATCCTGAGTGCCAATCCCTGAATCCGATCCCAAAAATCCCATGATCCGATCCCATAAATCCCGGGATCTCATCCCATAAATCCCTCAATCCGATCCCATAAATCCCATGATCCAATCCCACAAATCCGACCCCATAAATCCCTGAATGCAATCCCATAAATCCCTGAATCCAATCCCATAAATCCCTGAATCGCATCCCATAAATCAGTGAATCCAATCCCAAAAATCCCTGAATCCAATCTCTGAATCCAATCCCATAAATCCCTGAATCGCATCCGCTAAATCAGTGAATCCAATCCCAAAAATCCCTGAATCCGATCCCATAAATCCCATCCCCTAAATCCTACAAATCCCACCCCATAAATCCCATAAATCCCTGAATCCGATCCCCAAATTCCTGAATCCAGTTCCATAAATCCCTGAATCCGATTCTATAAATCCCGGAACCTCATCCCATAAATCCCGGAATCTCATTCCACAAATCCCATGACCCAATCCCACAAATCCGATCCCATAAATCCCATGACCCAGTCCCAGAAATCCGATCCCATAAATCCCATAAATCCCATGATTCCATCCCACAAATCCGACCCCATAAATCCCTAAATCCAATCCCATAAATCCCGGAATCTCATCCCATAAATCCCGGAATCTCATTCCATAAATCCCATTACCCAATCCCACAAATCCGATCCCATAAATCCCATGACCCAATCCCACAAATCCAATCCCATAAATTCCATGATCCAATCCCATAAATTCCACGATCTAATCCCATAAATCCCATGATCCCATCCCATAAATCCCCGAATGCAGTCCCCATTCCCGTCCCCATTACCCCGTTGCTCCCCGCACACAGACGAGCGTTTCCTCTCCTTCTTCTTCTCGCGCCTGGAGCGGAACCGGAGCGGCCGCCACGAGGGCGCGTTCCCGTGGCTGTCGCGCTGCGGCCGCGAGCG